AACAAATCACATAAACACAACAAGTAAGGAAACAATAAACAAAAACATGTAAACCTAACACGTGACGATGCACAAACAACAGATTTTGATCCAAAGAACGGACCCAGTTCTCAGACTAATAGATCACAAACCACCCAAACAGGAAATCGACCTCTCAGAAACAAGCAGTAGTCAGAACTTTTCTCTAAACTAAAAGGAGAAAAGGCTATATTTACAAATGCTACACCAAAACAGAAAATACTTTTCAAAAATGAAAATGCACTCATTTTTAACATCCAGGATCTCGTAAATATCTCGACAAATGATATCATTCTAGCTCTGACAACCAAACTTGGAGGAGACCTACTAGCAGCCAAAATGCATAACAAAGAGAAAAATGTGCTTTTCTAGAAACTGTCTTTGTTAACAAAGACAAACAAAAGCTCTACGTATTATAAGGAATTAGTATCTTCAACCAAACCTTGTTTGGTTATATTCCAATAAATCTTAAATGTAATTTTCTCTTAGTTAAGCTAAGAAACATGCCAATAGAAGAAAAGGAACAAATAAATAAACTGGTCAAAATAGTATTTCAAGATGTAAGCACTATCGTATCAATCAAACCACTACTATTCGAAAGGACATCAGTATGCTCAGATCAATGGATCATTACTTTTGAAACTACAGAGGATCCTGATCTAGCCCAAAGACTTTCTAGATACACACATGTAGGAGATCACAAAGTCTTAACAGACTGGAAAGAAGCTCCAAAAGTCTGCTACTACTATGAACAAACAGAGCATATCAAGAAGGACTGCAAGGAGTTAAAAGCTTTGATCGAATTCAGACAAAGGTTAAGAGAATACAAGAAGCAGAAGAAACTTAAAATAGAAAGTCAGAATCTAAACGAAGCTGAAGCACAAACTCAATTTAGCCCAGAAAATCCTTATATTTCAAAAATGATTCTGGAAAAAACTAATGAAATCAACACAGAAACATAAATCAAACCTTGATCTCCAATAGAGACAACTTTATCAGAAACATCTCAGACAGAAGAACATGAACTCACAGATACAAAGACAGAAACTAATAAGATAGAAACAACAGAAAACGAACCAGAAGCTGCAGACACATCTGCAAACAATGCTACAACAACAGATGTAGAAATAGAAATCACATCTAAGAATGAAAAGAACAACAAGAATGAAAGAGAATTTACTCTTGTTATCTCGAGAAAAGGAAAATACAAAAACAAAGTGAAGAAAGCAAGTTTCTCTCCACTCACTAGAGTTAACAAAGTAAACAAGAAGAATAACTCCCAAGGAGTTACTTCTTTTCATATTTAACCAAAAACAACCACATGTGTGGCCAAATATTTATATCATGATTAAGATCATCACACTAAATATAAAAGGCCTTAACAATAATGTAAAGGCTCAAAAAACTTTAATTTTATTAAAATCTTACAAAATAGATCTAATACTC